AACAATGAACCAGGACAAACCTTCGACTTCTTTCGAAGGCAAACCTAGAAAAAGATCTCACAGTAAGGTAGACCTTGAAGTAGAAAGTGATAAAACAAAACAGCACGACCACGATGTGCCGATACAAGACAAAAAGACAAAANAACAACAAACACCAAAANATATTCTTGACTTNNCAGATGAAGTTCTTTTATGTATATTTAAAAATGTAGACCCAACCGATTTAAATAATCTCAGATTGTAAGTTTTTTTATTTATGTGAAGNGAGTGNTAGATAAATATCCGAAACAATACGTAGATAGCGACAGTAGTACGACATTGCTGTAGTTGACAAACTGTATCTTTCAGGCTTACTAGTATACGTACTGCTTGGGTGACAGTTCGCCAAACTATATATAATCATTTGAAATAATATCAATCGCTTCTTGTTAAAATAATACACTTATATATGTTTCAAAATAAGTTTTGTTGAAATTTATTTATTATAGATGTTGCACAAGATTTGCAAGACTAGCGGCAGATAAACTTTTATGGAGTTTGGACTATCGCAAAACACCTATACTTCCTTCTCAAATGAAGCCGTATGAAACTTTCCTAAAACCATTAACATACAGCTTAGCAATACGTGGAGATTTCAAACATGACAGTGAAAATATTCTTTCACCTTATTTTTTTTTTAAACTACAACAAATATGCAGAAAACTTAGCAAATTGATTATTGAAGAGTATTATATTTGTACAACTATGGTATATATTACTTTTTATTAAAATATTTCTACAGTACGTACACATACAGCAAACAGCTAAATCATAAAGTATAAAAAACTATAACGCGATAGATTTTTTTTATGCGGTTTAATCATAGTCGCTGTTATTAATGGTAAAATAAAATGCATTAGTTGTTCGCAACGATGCTCGCACTCACTCGCCCTCGATGTGATCTTGTAGTAAGTAATATCTGTATACAAAGTGTTTAGCGAAATCTCAATTTCTTAGCAAAAGAAATTAAACAAATTGTACACTAAAAAGATTTTATAGGATGCACTTTCACTTTCTTTAAAATACGGACTACCACGCACACAAACTATTATGACTTACGTAATAACAGTTTGTTCCGTTTACTTATATATAGAATAATAATAATAATAGTATCGTGTAATATATCATTACATATGTCTGTAAAAATTATAGTTATCAAAGCATATGTGACATTTTTATAATAGTATTATAGAGGTCACACTTTATGTGTATAGCATATTATACATCTAGTAAAACTTCTTTTCCATAGTTTTGTTACAAATCCATGGCACTTTATTAAAATTGGTTTAGGATACGCCAGAGGCGTCAACAACTCTTGAGACCCTTGAATTCAAAAATTGTATAGCAGATGGTAAGTTTACTGGTGTCACATTTTTTTCGCCCACTTCTTATCCTGGACTATGTAGGTTCGTACCCTACATAAAAGTAAGTTGTTGTTCTACACATATTTTACATATCTCTATATATTAAGTGTATTCTATCATATATATACACACACATATTGTGTTTAATAATACAATATTGTATTCCAAATATAAATTTTAGTACTTGACATTTAACAATGTTCTGTGGGATCAGCAATCGACATTTTTGACAACTATATGTAACCTTACAGAACTTCAGAAACTTGAAGTAATTTCATGTTTTCGTATAAAGGACTTTTGTCCAGATATAGATTTATTCACTGTCCCTTGTAACTGCCAAAAGCTAGAGGTATTTTTTATTTTAGGAAAGTACTAGTTCTGCATTTCATCTATTTTTACTGTAGAAATCACCCTTTTCTAGAAACGTGTTTTTTTAAATTGTTTTATAGATTCTAAACTTTCGAAACTCAGTAGTAGAGGATGAGATAATTGAATGGTTTTGTCAAGTTGAATCTTTAAAAGAACTGTATCTAGAATGTCCTAAATTTTTTAGGGACAAATTGTCAAATGAATCATTAGAAGTGTTACAAAACTTTTATTACGATAATTACATTTCTTTG